GCATGCAGTAGGTGGCCAATCGATGTTCTCTCTCATTGATGTTTCTATCTCTCTCTCCCTCTTTCTTCCTCTTTCTCTCAAATCAATAAAGGAAAAAAATTTAAAAGAAAAGATCAAGCATACAGAAAAATAGAAAGACTAGTATAGTAGTGAACACCTATATACCACTCAGCTAGATTCACTTGCTGCTATTTTGCTTTTAGTTTTGGGAAGAGGGCCATGATGCCAACCTGAGACTTTAAAATAATGCATCAGGGTTTATCTGTTGCATTTGGTTCTATGTCTTCTAATCTCAGGGTGAAGTTTCATTCCATACCTACTCACTTATGTATTATCTGTGACAGCTTTTGTAGAGCTTTTCCAACTTTACAACAGCAGACTTAAAGAGTTTAAATAGACTATATGGCCTATAAAGCCAAAAATTTACTGTGTGGTTTTTTTACAGAGAAAGTTTTCCAACTCTTGATCTAGAAGTTTACCATTGTTTTTTCATTTGTCTTAATGAGTCCAGGCCAGTTATATTGTAGAATATCTCATATTCTGGATTTGTCTGATTGTTTCTTGAGGTGATGCTTATTTTGTCTTAATTTTTATTATTTCAACTTACATACAGTAAAATTTATTTTTGTTGTGCAGTTCTATGAGTCAAGTGTGTTTTGTTTTTAAAATTTCATAAATTTTTACAAAGGCATAGAGTTGTATAACCACCACCACAATCAAGATATAGGAAAGTTTCATTACCTCGAAAAATTCCCTTGTGGTGCCTTGTTATAGTCAGCCCCTTCCCACCAGCAGTGGCTGATCTGTTCTCTATTCCTATAGTTTTTCTGACTTTGCCAATAATGTAATATACAGGCATACCTCAGAGATTGAGGGCTCGAGGTTTCAGACCACCCTAATAACACAAGTTTTGTGATCAAGTGAGTGGTATAGTTGGCCCTCGTTTATCGCGGTTCATCAGTTCTATACTGTGATAAATGAATTTCTGCGAAGTAGGATTCTTTTTTTTTTTTTTCTTTTATCCTCACCCGAGGACATTTTTCCATTTTTTGTTCAGATAGAGTGGGAGGGAGAAAGAGAGAGAAACATCGACACAAAAGGGACACATCGAGTGGTTGCCACCCACACGACCCAAACAGCACCGGGGACAAACTGCAACCGAGCTACATGCCCTTAGTGGGAACCAAACCTGGGTCTCTCTGGACCACAGGCCGATGCTCTAACACTGAGCAAAACCAGCCAGGGCAGGATTCTTTATTTATATACAGTCGTCCCTCGCTACTTCACACTTTGACTTTCGTGGCTTTACTCTATCACGGTTGTTTCAAATATAGTGTAGTGTTTGAAAAAACCGCAATAGAGTAAAGCTGCGAAAGTCAACGCGCAAAGTGGTGAGGAACAACTAATCTTTTGCTGGTGGAGAATCTTGCAAGAGTTTTTTTTATTCCTCACCCGAGCATATTTTTCTATTTATCATCAGATAGAGTGGGTGGGAGGGAGAGAGAGACAGAGAGAAACATCAACGTGATAGAGCCACATCTACTGGTTGCCTCCCACACCACCTGACCAGGGCCAGGGCTGAACTGCAACCGAGGTATGTGCCCTTAGCGGGAACTGGACTGCAGGCCGATGCTCTAACCTCTGAGCCACACCAGCCAGGGCCGTGAATTGTCTTTTTACTTTCTTGATGGTATCCTTTGAAGTTCAGTTTTTAATTTTAATGAAATGCAACTGATCTGTTTTATGGGGGGGTTTCCCACATATTCTTCTGGTATCACATCTAAGAAACCATTGCCTAATCCAAGGTCATAAAGATTTATTTCTCTCCCTGACTGGTATGGCTCAGTTGGTTGAGTGTAGTCTAGTGCACCAAGAGGTTGCCGTTTCAATTCCCAGTCAGGGCACATGCCTGGGTTGCTGGCTTGATGTTTCTCTCTATATATATCCCTCCTGCCCTCCCTCTCCCTCTCCCCCTTTCCTTCTCCCCTCTCCCTTCCTTTCTCTTCAAAGAGACATGGATATGAAAAAGAAACAACAGTTGGTTGCCTCCCATATGTACCCCAACTGGAGATCAAAACCTGCAACCTTTTGGTGTATGAGACAGCACTCCAACTAACTGAGTCACCTGGCCAGGGCCAACTTTGTTTTTCTTTTCAAGATTGTTTTGGCTATTCTGGGTCTCTTGCCTTCCCATAGTAATGTCAGGATGGATTTTTTTCATTTCTACAAAAAAGCAGCTGGAATTTCAGTACAGTGATTGTGTCAAACATATAGATTAATTTGGGAAGTAGTGCTGTCTTAACAATATTGTCTTCTGATCCATGAACATAGGATATATTTCCATTTATTTAGGTCATTTATTTATTTCAACGATATATTATTGTAATCTTCAGTGTATATTTTACACATCTATTATTAAATTTTTTATTTTGGAATCTATTGTAAGTGAAATTCTTAATTTCATTTTTAAAATGTTCATTACTAATGTATAGAAGTACGATTGATTTTGTCTATTCTATATCATGCAAGTCTTGCTGAATTAATTTAATAGTTCAAATAATTTTTTCTGTGAATACCTTAGTATTTTCTATATACCAGATTATGTCATCTGTTACTTCTTTCTTTCCAATCTGAGATCTCTTAATTTCTTTTCCCTACATTAACTGCCTTGGCTGACACTTTCAGTACAATGTCCAGTAGTAGTGGTGAGAGCAGACATCCTTGTCATTTCCTGATCTTGGGAGGAAAGCTTTCAGTCTTTCACTGTCGAGTATGATGTTAGCTGTGAATTTTTTATAGATGCCCTTTATCAGGTTGAAGAAGTTTTTATCTATTCCCAGTTGAGTGTTTTTATCTTGAAAAGGTGCTGGAGTTTGTCATGTGCTTCTGTCTATTGAGATGATCATGTATTTATTGTCCTTTATTCAATTAATATGGCATACTACATTGATTGATTTTTCAGTTGTTGAACCAACTTTGCATTCCTGACATAAGTCTCACTTAGTCGTTGTATATAATCCTTTCTATATGTTGCTGGTTTAGTTTGGTAGCATTTAGTTAAGATCGTGTACTTTCAATTATTTATTTATATTTTTTTTTAGGGAGAGAGAAGCATCAATTTTTTGTTCCCCTTATTTATGATTCGTTGGTTGATTCCTGTATGTGGCCTGACTGGGGATCTAAACCATAGCCTTGGTGTATCAAGATGATGCTCTAACTATCTGAGCTACATGGCCAGAGCAAGATAATACACTTTTAAGAGAGAAAAGGCAGAATATTAAATTGTATGGTATGATCACAAGAGAATGGGTATGTTTTTTGTTTTGTTTTATTTATTTATTTTTTCTTTATTGATTTTAGAGAGAAAGGAAGGGAGAGGGAGAGAGAGAGAAACATCGATGAGAGAAAACATCAATTGGCCGCCTCCTATATGACCCCCACTGGGGATTGGACCCACAACCTGGGCATGTGCCCTGACCAGGAATCGAACTGGCAACCTCTTGGTGCATGGGTCGATGCTCAACCACTGAGCCACACCGGCCGGGCTGTTTTGTTTTTTTAGTAAAAGAGAAAAAAATTCTTCAGTTGATTATCTTTGAGTAGTAGAATTCTGGGTGATTAGTGTTTCTTTGGTATAGTTCTCTATATGTTTTATAATTCTATATGGAGCTTGATAAACAGGGGGAAAAGTTACCTCTGTGGCTGAACAGATGGGAGTGCTGGTCCTGGCTGGGGAGTGAGGAGAGGGAGCTTTCATACACAGTTGGTGGAAGTTGTGATGGAGATGACCTTTCTGGAGGGCATTTTGGCAAAATGTATCAGGACCAGGAATTCTGTATTTAGGTATTTGCCATAAGAAATTGTATGGACATCTATGCCAAAATGTAGATATCCATCAGTAGATTACAGTGTAGAATGAATAGTGGTTGATATTACTTAGGTTTGAAATTATATGTGTTTAGATGTGTGCACTTTTTAAAATGTCTAGAAGGAATGGGCACAAACACTGTGAAGGTTGGAGGTGGTCTGTTGATGGTAGGGTTCCTTCAGGAAGCTACAGCTTGTCTGTGTCCCGGTTTGCTCATTTAAGAAATACCTTTGCGCCCTGGCCTGTTTGGCTCAACGATTACAGTGTCAGCCTACAGACCGAAGGGTTCAATTCTTGGTTCAATCCCCAGCCCTGTTTGGGGTCCTGCGGGAGGCAACCAATCAATGTGTCTTTCTCATGTCAATGCTTATATCTCTCTCTCTCTCCCTCCCTCTCTCTCTCTCTTTCTCGCTCGCTTCATTTAAAAAAAAAAAAAGTGGGGGGTTATCCTCCGGTGAGGATTAACCAAAAAAGGGAAAGAAATACCTTTGTTGTTCAGGACCGGGGACTGGCAGAGCTTGCTTCCTCTGGGGAGGTGGAAGGAAATCGTATTTAGCTACCCAGGATGGGTGATTTGGAGAGGCCAGTTACAGTATCAGCTAAAATGTGTCCTCTGGATGCCCCATCCTGGCTCAAGAAGGGCTGGTATCTATGTGGGTAGTGAAGACTTTTTTCTGTCCCCATACTTTAATTTCAGGTTCCAAATTTCCCATGCCTCCTGCATGTTAACACAGGCCTTCTCCCTAACATTTGTCTGGGAGTAGCATATAGAACCCACTACCCATTATGGGTAAGGATAGAATTGCGAGAATGTGACCGGGGCACTGAAACATCTGATATTTGTAGGACCTTATTTTTAGGAAGCACAGATATAGTCTTTCCTTTAACTTAAAAAAAAAACACAAAAGTGTTGTGAAACAATTTCCGCCTGCCAAAGTTCAAAGGTCTTTTCCAACCACCCACTAACCCCTGGATCAGATTTTACTTTCACGCCTAGATGCCAGCATTAGCATTGCTGTCTGAATTGACTCCTGGTAGATGTTTTCATTCAGGCAGACCATTACCGGCCTTTCCACAGGTCCTACCACTGTCCTGTTCCTCAGTGCTTCATTTTCCTTGTCTTCTCCTCTAGGTACTGCTTCTCCGAAATGGCCCCTGTGTGTGCAGTGGTTGGAGGAATCTTGGCCCAGGAAATTGTGAAGGTAAACAGTGACTGTGCAGCAGAAGACAGTTGACCCACTGCACACCTCATAGATATCCTGAGAGAGCCCGGGCTGTCTGAGCTCCCTGGGTTCTCTGACCCTGCTCGTCCTTGTTTCATGCCCCACCCTTTTCCTTCCTTCCCTTCAGCCCATCCCATCCTCTGCAGCCCATTCAGGTGGGCATTCAGCAAATGACCTCTGGGTGCCTGCTCTGTGCTGAGCCCAGAACTGGACACAGTGCTGCCTGCCCTTCCCGAACTGAACCAGTCAGGTATCTGGTGCTTATGATATTGGCCAGGTATTCTGCTTCTCGTGGCTGTGAAATGGGTACTGTCGTGATTCCCTTTTCAGGGAGGACACTACTGAGGCCCTGAGAAGGAACTCCAAAATCCATGCTCTTCACCTCTGTAGGGTTTCTTTGTCCATCACCATGGCTTCAGAGTTCCATCTTGTTAATACACCATAGGTATTTACAGAGAATGAGGAAAATCAGCACCAGTGCCTGTGCCAGGAGCCCCACAGGGCTCTGTAAGGGTGACCTGTGACATAGGTGTCTTTGGCACTCTCAGAAGGGAAGTATCTCACGTGGGGTCATATAACCAGTAGCTAGCACAGCATTTTAAATTTATTCTAGAAGAACATTTGGGTTGCTAAAACTATTGCATACCCTCAAATAAATTTCACTTTCTTTGGGAACTTTCATATTTGCCCAGAGATGTTAGATTGGCCTTTGTCAGGTTCTTGATGCTCATGGACTTGCAGTGGTGGTTTGTCCTTCCCTCTTTTGGCAGCATGGTGCCCGGTCCACTGACAGAGTGCAGTGACGGAGAATCATAAGATGGGAATGGTATATACGTGTTCTTGTAGCCTGTAGTGACAACAATAATAACATGTACCACAGAAAGACTATTGGATGAACTCATTTATCCTCACAACAACCCTGTGAGGTAGAAAGTATTGTGACTCCTGATGTATAAAGTGAGGGTGGAGCCCTGGCCAGTTTTGCTCAGTGGTTAGAGCGTCGGCCCACAGTCCAGAGACACCTGGGTTCTATTCCCGCTAAGGGCACGTACCTTGGTTGCAGTTTATCCCCGGCCCAGGATGGGGTCATGTGGGTGGCAACCAGTCAATGTGTCTCTCTCACATCAATGTTTCTCTCTCCCCCCTCCCTCTCTCCCTCCCGCTCTGTCTGAAAAATATAAATAAATAAAGTGAAGGTGGAGGTTGCCTGACCGGTATGGTTGAGTGTCCACCTGTGCACTGAGAGGTCGCTGGTATGATTCCTGGTCAGGGCACATGCCTGGGTTACAAGCTCAATCCCCAGTAGGGGGCGTGCAGGAGGCAGCCAATCAGTGTTTCTCTCTCATTGATGTTTCCATTTATCTCTCCCTTTCCCTTCCTCTCTCTCTCTAAAAAAAAAAGAAAAAGAAAACATTAAAGAAATCTATACCCCTGGCCGGTATGGCTCAGCGGTTAGAGTGTCAGCCTGCAGACCAAAGAGTCCCAGGTTCGATTCCGGCCAAAGGCATGTACCTTGGTTGCGGTTTGTCCCTAGACCCATTTGGGGTCATGTGGGTGGCAACCAATTGATGTGTCTCTCTCACATCGATGTTTCTCTCTCTCTCTCTCTCTGTCTTTCTCCCTCTCTCCAGCTCTAACTGAAGATTAATGTAAAAATATCCTTGGGTAAGGATTTTTTTTTAATCTATAAAAAATGTGAGGGTGGAGGTGCAGGGAAGTATGGAACCCAGGTGTCTGATTCCTGGGTCTGTGCTCTTTACCACTTGGTCATTGTGCCTCGGGCACATTCCCTAAACAATACCCCGTCCAGTGGCTCCATCTACGTGGACCCAGGGCTGCTGTCTTTTTACCCCAAGGCTCACTTCTGTGCATCCCATTGAGAAGCTGCTCCCTGGATTTTTCATAGAGGATGCAGATTGGGGGTCAAAGCAGGTGGCCTTGACCCTATTGTTTGCAGCGGCTTCTCTGCATCCCCGTCCTAACCTCTAGTGCAGCCCCCTCCTTGCTGCCTGCTGGGGACAGCTGTTGCCCAGCATCTTGTTTCTGTTTATGCCAGATAACCAGAGCACTCTGCATTCTTGGTTGCCGGGTGTGTCTGGAATCTCCTCCTACCCCCATCTGGCTTGGGAAGCACTTTACCTTGTGCCCCATGTTCGCCCCATGCCCTGCTGTCCTGTCCCCACTACTCCCCTCCCCCGACTTAACAAGGTTCCAGCCTTCAGTCAACTGGCAATAGAGTCCTGCAGTCTGAGGGCCACAGACCTCTCCTCCTTCTCTCCTGAGAGACCATCTGACCACTCAAAAAGTGAACGGTAGGAGGTGGAGAACAAATGTAAAAGTCTGTTCCCTGAGAATCATCTTTATGTCCTTCCTTCCTTCCTTCCTTATACTATTCTAGACACCATGTATTCTGTCCATATCCCCATCATGTCATCTTTCTTGGGTGGAAATCATCCTTCCTTTTTCCACTCTCCACAGTAGGTCTCCCTGCCTACAGTACTACAGGTGACAGTGATGGCAGTGCCATCCCCAGGCTCCATGTTAAGTCACATTGTATCATCTCCTGTAAGGTGGGTTCTCTCCGGGTTCTAGGAGCCCCAACTGTGGGCCTTTGGGCCCTTCCACCTAGCTGAATGCTTGGGATCCTCGGCCATGGGTAAGGGACACCTGGCCCCATTAGCAGTGGCAGCTCCCTCTTACTGAGAATTTGCTCTGTGCCGCACACATGACAAGATTGATTGCATTTCATTCTCCCCAGAAACCCTAGCAGGCAGGTGCTATTTATTTGCCTTTTCTTATGCACAACAGGAGCACACCTGTCAGATCCAAGCCCCATCTTTAGTATCTAGCACTATACCTGATACAGAGTCGATACTCAAAACATTTCCTTGGACAAATAGCTGAATAGCCACTTGAAGTAGGTGAAATCATCCCTGTTTACAGATGAGAAAACTGATTGGGGTTGGCGCTCAGTTTAAGGAGAAGTTTAGGATGTTTAGAGCAATTTCTAACCTTGTAAACGAGGTCCTGCCTTATGAGTGACAACGTGGTGCTCTCCAGAACCTCAAAACACCTCCTAGAGCCAGCTTAGGTGATGTCCTCTTCAAATGGAAACCCTGTTTTGGTTTAGAACCTCTTAAAAAAGTCACTGACATGTATGAACACATTACACACATGTGTACATATGACTCAGCTGTGGTTTCAGATTCTGTTAACCCCACAAGCCAGTCCCTGTGTCCGTGGCTGAAGAGCAGCTCCCAGGCCTGCCCTGCGGAGGGCAGGCCGTGCAGTCTCATGAGGGCTGCAGCTAAGACGTGTTGGAGTGAGTCACTGCCTTTCTCAGCCAGAGTCATAAATAATTATCACTGCCATTTGCAAGGTGGTGCCCCTTCATGCCGGGCACTGGTTAAGGTATTAGGTATATCATCTCTTAGTACCTGGGATAATACATTTGTTATGTTTGCTTTACATGGGAAAAGTAAGGTTCAAAGAGGCTAAATGATCTGTCTAAGGGCACACAGCTGGTAAGGGCCATTGCAGAGAGACATGACCATCAGAAATGTCCATGCGCGTCTCTGGAGCACTCCTGCCTTCCCCCTCCCCCAGGTGTGTTATCTGTGTCTTCTGTCTCCTAAGCAACGAGGGCGCTTCTTTTGCCTCTGTAACTTGTTTCCTGAGCTCGCACAGCCCAGCTGGCTCACTTTTTCTACCTCTGTGACTTTCTAAATAAAAAGTTTCCAGACATGGCCAAATAGCCCCTGGGGAGCAAAATCTACCTCTATTGAGAAACCACTGCCCACACTGCTTATAGATCTGGTTTGGGGGTTTTTGGGTTTTTTTTCTCGTTTTTTTTTTTTTTCTTCCATTTTATCTCTTTTAAAGCACTTGCGCTGAACCTTCTTCTTGTTTTTCTCCCCAGGCCCTGTCTCAAAGGGACCCACCTCACAACAACTTCTTCTTTTTTGATGGTATGAAGGGAAATGGGATTGTGGAGTGCCTTGGCCCCAAGTGAACCCACAATGTGGCGGCCCCGGAGATGTTGACCCCCAGTGTGCCCACATGTGCTCCCCATGCCCTTCCTCCCACCAAGGCATCTCCAGGCGAGAGAAAAGTGAAGTCATTGGACCGATACAAACCATTTCCTGCGAACGATGAGGTTGTACAGATGTGCTCCTTGCGAGTACCAGCAGCTGCTGCACAGCAAGGGGTGGAGGAACTGGCTGTCTCCATCCAGCACTGCACAGGACTGCTTGCAGCTCCCCTGAGTGGCAGCCACCTGAAAGCCCCCTCTTATGCCTCTGTCCTGCTGCCATCACAGCATCGCCAGGCCTCTGGGCACCGCTGGAGATGCCTGCCAGGAACCAGCACGCCTGGTTGCGTAGGAGCCTCTCGCCACCTTCTTGGACTTATTCCCCGCCTGATGTCACACAGAGAAGAGCATGACCTCAGTGGGGAATAAGGCCCAGGCCCAGTGAAACACTAGTGGAACTGAAGTTCCAAATGCAGACAGGTGCCCTGAAAGAGGGAAAAACATGGCAGGCGGGATGTATTTCCTCCAAAGTTCGAGATTCTGAAAAACAACAGGTGGCATCTGGTGCGCTGTTCCTGAGTTTTAGTTGAGGATTAGTGAGTTCAGCCTGAGCTGTGGAACAGAGGAAATGGTACCAGGTCCTCTTGGACATTAGGGCAAGACCTTCCAAGTTGAATATTAGTAGGGAAACTTGTTTTAAAAGGCAGGTGCCAGGGTCTCACTCCCTGGGGATTCTGATCTGTTGGGGTCACGTTGGGAGGGAGGAGCCCATCCTTTCACAGAGCTCCGTCTGTGATGTGGCGCTGGAGACTTGCATTGAAGGGTTGCGTCGGTCCTTCATTTACCCCCCGAATGGCAGCTGTTTGTGTTTTTTTTTATATTTTCTGATTCTCGTGGTTCTTTAACAAGGAATGATAGAAATAAACGTATTTGCTTTAGGATGTGTTTGTTTTTCTTCCACATTTGTAACTTCCTCTGACAGGTAGTGATCCCGCCAATTGCTTTTTTAAACCTGAAGAAATTCCACTGGATGCTTCACATGATTCCAACATTCCTCTCCTCCGACACCATTTCTACCACCGTTTTTCTGGGTAATGCAGCAAAAGGTGAAGCACTTCTATTGGAAACCTCTGGTTCCAATAGTCTATTGAATAATCCAGTTAAATAGTGGCTCTTCACAGTGACAAGAATTATAATAATGGGAAAGGAGTAAAATGTGGTGCTGAATGTACCTTTTATGTAGCTCCTCTACATACCAGGCATTGAGCAGAGTCAAGGTGGGCGATGGCCTCATTTTGAAGTTAAGTGACACTTAAGTAATATGCCCCATCCCACAGCTGGGGCGAGTCAGAGCTGTCATCGCAACACCAAGTCTAAGCTGGTTCCTCCTTGACGTAAAATTGTGCGAGGTTTGGTTCCAGCCAGTTCGAATGAATAAATCGGCCCCTGTCCTATCTTAATCCTGTTGCACCCTGAAAACACTGGTCCCTGGGAGACAGAACTAAATTCCCGACCCTCCCTCCAGGTCACCTCTGCTGCCGCTGTAGGTGAAGCAGGGCTGCATTTCTGGAGGGGCCCCTTTGTGGGCCCCATTAGTGTCAAGTCAGGCACCAAGGTCAGGGATTTTATCGATGCGTGAATTTCATGCCCTCTTTGAAATGAACTCATTACATCCTTTATTTTGCAATGTGAGGCCTTGGTCACAAGGGGGAGCAGGTGAATCTGGATGGATAAAAAAATTCACTGTAGAAGCTTCTCTGAGGCTTTTCAAACTTTTCCGGCCTGTGCTTCTCATGGCAGAGATTGAGTCATCTGGAGAGGAGCCCTCGGGGATCAGGGAGGGGGTGCTGGAAGCTGCCAGCCCCGGGCAAGAAATGTCATTATTCTCATTTCTTCAAATTTCATATTCTCCCACATTACACATCAGTATTATCATCAACTGGATTTCCCTAGGTCTCCAGGAAGTGCACAGTGGTTATCCTGTGGTTTCTAGTACATCCAGGGATGTGTAGCCCCTGTGGGAAGGAGGATCTACTCTTGAGAGTGACATATTTTGGGGTGCTGGAGCTACTGCATGAAAGCAAATGGGTCGGCTTCGGGGTGGCGAGGTTTCCCTACTGCATACCCCGCACTGTCGTATGGTTGGTGCAGGAGCCAAACCTCTGATCAGTGCTTAATGTGCTGAAGGCTCAGACAGAACCTTCCAGCAGAACACGTGAAAAATGACGACGATAAAACGTGCTCAGTTCCATCACAGCCCCACGTTCTGGCGGCGCAAGTCCATTTTGTCAGTTTCTTTTGTAAATAAACTTATATATTGATATATATACATGAGCCACCTTTAAATATACGTGTGTGTGTGTGTGTGTGTGTGTGTGTGTGTGTATTACAGGTGGCAAATGGAAGCTTAGGTGGTGGTAGTTTTCAGGTCAAAGAGTTTAATAGTAATGCTAGCTTGTTCACACTGCCTGCCTGGTACTTTCCAGAGTGCTTGCACTTTAGCTAAATTGTTTGAATCCTCACAGCATCCCCATGGGGGTAGATCTGCTACTGTGACCATATCGCAGATGAGGAGCCGGCTTCACCCAAGAGGTAAGGGACGGAATGTGGGCTGACAGGAAAGGCTTTCTTAGGGGACATTTAGGAAACATTCGAGTAACGGCACCACTTACGATCTCGGTGAGGGCAAGGGGACCCGGGCTTTGCCTTCACAAGGCCTTTAAACCCAGCAGTCACCACCGAGAACCACTAGGCAGGCCCAGGTGCTAAGGGAGGCCCTTCAGCTGGGTCCATAGGGGCAGGTGGGTTTTGTTTTTAAACTTGTACTAGAACCGTCAAGCAATATACCAGCGTAAGAGTAAAAAGATTCCTCCCCACTGCGTCAGCCTGTCAGTTCAATGTTGGCCATGTGGCAGGAGCAGCTGACTTCACAGCTAAAGTCAGGATATTAGAAATGTGAGATGCTTTTTGCGTAGGTTAGGTGTGTCAGCTTTCAGAGGTCAACCCAGCCATTGAGCAGGAGTCCTTCCAGGTTGTCAGGTTCAAACCCAGCCTCTTCCACCTTAGCTATGTGACCGTGGGCAAGTGACCTTTTTGTACCTCAGTTGTCCCATCTGTAAAATGAGGGACTAGTAGTACCGTTCTTTGATATGTGAAAATTAAATGAATTACTATGTCCTTTTAGTAGACATTGCTCAATGTTAGCTGCTATTATGCATATTTATAAATAACTTATTCTGCAACTTGCTTTTTCTCATTGCCTTGGAGATCCTTGTCAGCGCATCAGGCATCAAATTCCGAAACCACAGATGAACCATAAGCTATTTAATCAGGCTGCTGTTGAGTGATATCGAGCCTGTTTTCTTTTTACACACTTGGGAAAGACTCCCCAAAGCCAATTGCTCAGGTTACAGAGTATATAAATGCATTTGAGATGGTGATTCCTTCAAAAGGCTGTAGGGTGGTAGCATTGTACATTTCATTTGTTGTTTGGATAGACAGTACATGCATGTAGCACAGAATCGAGTTTTACAAAGACACACAGTCATATTTCTTTTTTTTTCTTTTCTTTTTTTTCTTTTTTATTTAATCCTCATCTGAGGACATTTTCTTTCTTTTTTTTATCTTCAGATAGAGTGGGAGGGAAAGAAGGAGGAAGAGCGAGAGAGAAACATTGATGTGAAAGAGACACATCGAGTGGCTGCCACCCACATGACCCTAACTGGGGCTGGGGACAAACTGCAATCAAGGTAGGTGCCCTTAGCGGAAACCAGTCCTGAGCCTCCCAACGCTCTTACCGCTGAGCCCAATCGGCCGGGGCACAGTCATACTTCTTGAAGGACAGAAACTATGAACAATGAAGAGTACATCTCTCCAGAAGCAGCCATTGCAGGATGGTAGCATTTGGAGGCGGCGAGAGGCACCTGTCCAAGTTTGGGATTGGCTTGCTAGAGGGCGCACAGTTTGCAGGGGTCAGCGGTTTAGATGAGGGCCTCACTGCTAGGTCCTCTGAGCTTCACCCCTGCCAAGTTACAAGACTGGTCAGCACCTTGGTTTCAATGGAAACAGCCACAAAGACACCTGGAAAAGTCGATCCCTCTTTAGTTTTTCTAGGAGCCCTTTGGACTTTGCTAAGAAAATATGGCATCTGCCTTTTTTTTTTTTTAATTCTCACCCGAGGACATTTTTCCATTTTTGCTCAGACAGAGTGGGAGGGAAAGAGAGGAAGAGAGTGACAGAGAGAGAAACATCGATGTGAAAGGGACACATCGAGTGGCTGCCTCTCGCACAACCCCAGCGGGGGCCGGGGACAAACCGCAACAGAGGTACATGCCCTTAGCGGGAACCGAACCCGGGTCTCTCTGGACTGCAGGCCAACGCTCTAACCTCTGAGCCAAACTGGCCAGGGCAAGAAAATGAGGCATCTGCCTTTGACTGTTCCTGGGTCTCTGCCTCTTTCCATCTAACCTGAAAGGGAGGGGCAGGATTCCCCATTCTGTCCTAAATATGATAGATTTGGTTCTATTAAAAACATACCAGCCTGGCTGATGTGGCTCAGTGGTTGAGCATCGACCCATGCATCAAGAGGTCGCCGGTACAATTCCCGGACAGGGAACATTCCCAGGTTGTGGGCCCGATCCCCAGTGGGGATCATGCAGGAGGCAGCCAATCGATGTTCTCTCTCATTGATGTTTCTATCTCCCCTTCTCTCTTCCTCTCTCTCTAAAATCAATAAGGGAAAAAAAAAATTAAAGAAAAATAAATAAATAAATGTGACTGTTATTTTTTAAAAAAGAAAAATATATATATACCAAAGTTCTGTTTCTTGTGTGGTAGAGTAAGTTTCTAACAGACAAACTCGCCTGCAAATAACTACATTCTAGACGAGACAAAACAAAAGACACAAAACCCAATCAAACAACAACTATTGGATGGCTCTGGTGAGTGAACAAAGGCAGGTGGATGTGGGAAGGGAGTTGGAAATTGCAAGAAGAGCCCACCACGGGGTGAGTTTGGTGTGTGTGTGAATTTTTTCCACCATGTGAACAGAGCCCCTGCACCAGGCAGCTAGGACTCTGGTTGAAAACCAGCTGCAGTAATGGCCTGAAGAACCAGAGGCGAGAGTCAGAGTAACCAGAGCTACTGGGAAGGAGAGTGCCAAGGAAGAAAAGCCCCATGTTACATGTGTAAATTCAGCCAAAGACTCCTGCCGACCACTGGGATGTGGAGCATGGGGCAGTCACAGCAAGGCTGAACTGAACTGGTTTTGCGCTGTTCCCTACTGTAACAGTTTCAGTCTAGCAAACATAACTGTCCCCTAAAACAAAAACAGTCACATCCTTTGGAGGATATAACAAAATCCAGAATGTCTACAACATTACCTTTATGATATTCAGGATATAATTCAAAATTACTTAATATACATGGGATCAGGGAAATGTGACTCATTCTCAAGGGAAAATACAAAATGACAGAGAACCCAAGTGTTGCAATTAGACAAGAACTTTAAAGCAGTTATTGACTACAGTTTTTCTCATCAAGGTAAGAAAAGAGTGCAATGATGAAAAATAGGAAATCTCAGCAGAAAAATAATGGATATTCAAGGACTGAGAAATACAATATCTGTGATTTTAAAAACTTGCTGGTTGCCCAGGCAGTGTGGCTCAGTGGTTGAGCATCGACCCATGCATGAAGAGGTTGCTGGTTTGATTCCTGGTCAGGGGGCATGCAGAAGGCAGCCAATTGATGTTCTCTCTCATCGATGTTTCTATCTCTCCCTCTCCCTCTCTCTCTAAAATCAATAAGGAAGGAAAATGTTTTTAATACTTGCTGGTTGCCCTGGCCAATTTGTCTCAGCGGTTAGAGTGTCGGCCCTTGGACCAAAGAGTCACAGGTTTGATTCCGGTCAAGGGCATATACCTCAGTTGCGGTTTGTCCCC